CTACATTTCACCCAATAAAAAATCCTTACATATAGTTTTTTATAAGTGTGCTCAACTATGTTTGTGTTTATACTGATTTGTAACACCCCAATATTCCGTACATATTCCATACATATATTTTCTATAGGGCTTCAATAATTCTATTTCATTTATTATGTTTTTCATGATTTACTTGCTTGTTCCTTTTTTTATTTATTTAATATACTTATATCCTTTTTATAAGGGTACATTAAGTATATAAATTATTTTAGTACTTTTTTGCTTTCAAAGTGAAAAAAGCTAACAATATTTGTCATAAGATTAAACTTATTAAAACTTAATGACAGCAAGAGACAAATCAATGAGTGGCAAAATCATAGAAATGTTTTTATTCTGAATATTTTATTTGTTTCTAGTATAGAATGGTCTTGGACAAGTAATATCTTTGTATTCATCTTTCACAAATGGACAAATATTCTGGTAAAGATATACTTGCCTTTTGTAATCCAAAGGAGGTGGTGTTAACACTAAAATAGACAAAGCTTTAATTTCTTCAAAAATATCTGCTTTCTTGATTTTCAATAATTGAACTCAACAAAAGGTCCATTAGCAACTTCTTGAACTTTCACTGTACCATGATTAGATGCTTCAAAAAGGAAATGTTGGTAATTCTGTATACTTGGTAATTTCTTAAAATAAATTCCCAAATTGCTTTAATATCTAAGTATTGAAAACCCTTTTCACCTTCATAACATTGAGCTTTATTTAATCCTGCTGGACTAGACTTTTTTACCACCTCAATCACATGATCCAGACAATCTACTCTTGTCCTTCTATAGAGTTTTTTAATCATCCCAAAATTGCCATCATATTTGAATTTGGTATGTCCTGGAACCATGAAATTTAATTCAATGCTTTCATAATAACCACAAATTACCAAATATAAATAAAACCAAATTGTTACATTGTTTTTATTCTGTCCACCTGCATTATCACAAGTAATCTTTAAATGCTTTTCACCTCTATTCATTTTCT